CGCTGGTTATACACTGGTCTATTTCTGCACGTTGATCATTCAATGAGGTTATTCTGGAGCCGAGGTATTTGAATGTTTCTACTCTCGTGAATGATTTTTCTTCTACGCATACCCTGTTATTAGGGGTGGAATTTTCAGCTTATTATCATATATTTTGTTTTGTCTTCATTTACTTGTAGGCCAAACTGCTCTGCCTCCCTTATCGAGTTTCTCTATGTCCTCTTGATTACATCCAAGGACAGCTATATCATCTGCGTACCCAAGGATTTTATGTTTCGTTCCGACGTGGACCCCTCTATTTTCCTGCGATGTTGTTCTTATTACCTTCTCCAGGGCTAAGTTGAACAACATTGGTGATAGTCCATCTCCATGCCATAAGCCAGTTCGAATTTTGAAGGCTTCAGTGTTTCTCCTTGTATTAGGACTCTACATTAAGGGTCGTTTGTACAAATCTTTTTCAATCTCACCAACTTACCGGGAACTCCCATTTCTGTCATGATTTTCCAAAGATAACTCCTGTCCACAGAATCATAGGCTGCTTTGAAATCGACAAACAGGGCGTGGACGTCCTGAGAAACGTTTTTCTAGTACTTATTTTAGGATGAAGATCTGCTCTAGCGTGTTCCTCTTTTTTCTGAATCCAGCTTGGTGGTCGTCTATTATGTTTTCGTATTACGGATATATCCTGTTTAGTAAGATATTGGTCATTATCTTGTAGGCAACCGGAAGGAGGTGCTATGCCTCTGTACTTACTACACTCATACATTGAGCCTTTCTTTAGGATAGGACTGATTAGGCCCGTATTCCAAGCCTCAGGTATGCTTCCTCTTTCCATATTTTCTGGATTAGTTGTAGTAGCTTGGTTCTTAAGTCGTCTCTCCCATCTTGAAACAGATCTGATGGTTGGTTGTCTATCCCTGGAGCCTTTCTTGTTTTGAGCCTATCGATAGCTATTTCTGCATCCAGTATACCTGGTTTTTCAACCTCTTCTGGGTCAAGGTCCTCAGTGTGGTCCATGTCTTCTTCGTTCCAGATGTCCCCTTGATTGAGAAGTTCCTGGAAAATTTCGAATATATCAAATATATGCTATTATTATTACAAAAATAAAAAGAGTGAAAACGATAACTAATAAAAAAAGAATAATAAAGAATGGCGATAAAATTAAAAATAGGAGGTACTTTAGGTTCAAGGTACATCAAACATTTTCAGAGTTCGAACTCCGGCATTACTCAGGTAGGCAACATCTTCATATTGCTGCTCTCATTAAGCAGATCATAGAGCCATATTCTTTTATGCACCTTGTAGGGGAAATAATATAACCGGATGTAGAGTTTATAATAGAAGAATCTACCTTCCGGAGTTTTGTTCACTTAAGGTGTCCTGCCGTCTATCTGTTCACATCTCGTCCTGACTTTTTAGTTTTTTATAACATCTTTTATTTTCTGTTCATGTAAGTAATAGATCCCTAACTAAAAGTGATTAAAATCGTTTATATATCCATGCTAACGTAGACGTGGGTGTTAAATGGAGGCATAGAATTTCTTTTTTTCTCGATTATCCTCAACCCGCTACGTATGGCATAGGGAGGGGACGGGGTTTCTAGAAGTGCAGCCAAACCTAATCTAACTGTAGTGGGAAGGTCGAGATTTATTCCGTTGCTTCATTCATTAAGGTTCATTCATAAAGTACTATTACAGGAAGTTTAGAAGGTAGCAACAGAAATAGTCACTAGTTGCTCCCACTATGACCGCTGCTCCCCACTCCAGACCCTCTCCCCGCATACTGATTTCTTATCTGTGGCCGTTTCTACTAAGAAAATCGCAGTGATACTCTTTTAAAATGGTAAAGTGCCGACCGCGACACTCGTGTGCTGTACTTGCCAAACTATTTACCAAAGTATAGTGTCAAACCCAGTAAAAGAATGGGAGAATCGACACTATATTCACTGAAATCGGAAACATTGCCGACGACTCAAAAATCATAAATAATATTTTAAAAACAGGCAGATCCCATCTGTAAAATCTTCTAGGGGTGAGATGAAAAAAAGGATTTCTTCCTTTTTATTTAGTTGGGAAGTTTATCTAATTTATAATAAGATAGGCAATGAAAACATACATTATTTTTATGTCAATCTTATATTTGACATAATATTTACGCTAACGTTTCGGGATTGTATCACATCTTCAGAGCTTTTACTTGCATTTTAATTCTGTTTCTTATTATAATGATTATAATTCAGTTTCTTATTATAATTCACAAATAACCATTTCCGAAATAACATTAAAGTAATTAAATGAAATAAATTATTTCTGAAATAACTGTGTGAGGTTATTCAACGATTTATTTTGGGAATATTATTTCAAATATATTCTGCTCAGGCCTACTTTATATTAATTGCATTAAGTTTGTATTTATAAATAATATTCCTAAGGCTTATCAACTACTATGGTTGTAAGTAAAAGTTTTGTTATGCACCTCACCAGATTTTTATTATTATAGCCAAGACAAATGTCAAAGCTACTTTTTTATTATCTCAAGGAGAATAGGTTTCCCAGGATAAAATCTACTATTCGTTTAATTCAAAGAATACTAAATGCAGTTATTGTGACGTAAGATATTGTAAAAATATGTAATAAATTATAATTTCAAAAAAATTTAAAATAGATATAGAATACTGAGTGAGATCCTAGTGTCTATCTGTTTGTTTTTCCTCGAGAGTATTGAAGATTTTGAGGATAAAAAAGATTGTTAGAATCTGCTTTCAAAATTTCTTTAATAAGTTAGCCGACGTTTCTACCCAAACGTGTGGATCATCATCAGGGCTATAAATTAAAATATATAATATAACAATAGAAAAATGATAAATTTAAAAGTGTAAGTGTAATAAGAGTGAAAAATAATAGTATTAAGAATAAATAAATAAGATAATAATAATAAGAGTAAAGAATAATATTTAAAAAAAAATGATAAATATAAAAGCATAAGAAACGATAACGTAATGAATAAAATCAGAAAAATGATAAATATAAAAGAAAAAAAAGTGAATCCTTTCTTCTGTTAAACTTTTATATTTATCATTTTTTCCGATTTTATTCTTTATTCTTATTACTATTATCTTATTTATTTATTCTTATTACCATAGGTTAAAATTCGAATTGATGAGGCTCCTTAGGGAAAGGGAATTCACATGCTTCGACGAGGTCTATTGTATTGATAGTGATGGATCAACAAGATACTCAGATATAATTGCATTCTCCAGGACCGGACACTGGTCTTGGATCCAACTGTTCGCTATGAGGGCAATGACCTCGATCAAACCAATGAAGTAGAAAGAGAAAAGAACGAAATCTACGAGAAACGCATCCCTTACCTAAAAGAGAAATTCCGCGAGACCTTCGGAGAGAAAGAGTTCACAGTGAGAGGCCTCTGGTTTGGGTCTGACGGAATGATTCCTAAAAGAACAGGGAGCTTCTTCGAGGAACTGGGCGTTGATGTACTAGGGTATTATTCTGGACTCCCTTGGGATCATTCATCATCACATATATGGTAATTAGGGATTGATTATCGTTGATTATTTATTTATTTATACAATTTGAAATGATTTAAGTGACCATATCTTTTTGTCTATGTTCATAGGACTATGTCACTTGCTGTGTGTGCGTTCTAATTTTCTGGTTTTAAAACTTTGGCATTCAAATACTATATTTTTACCGAGATATGTATATATTGTATAATTGTAATTGTGTATATTAGTATATTATAGTATTGATATTGTTTATGCTGTGTAATATGAAAAAGAATTTATATATATATATATATATATATATATATATATATATATATATATATATATAAACATATGATTAAATATAATTAAGTGCTATAGTCCAAAAAAAAAAAAAGATTGATGAGTATGCTGTGTATTGAGCAACCCTATATAGTAGGGCAGCACTGCTTTAAATAAAATATTCCTCTCTCTATCTTGTTACCGTTATTCATCACTCTTTTTGCTATTATCTTATTTATTTATTCTTATTACTATTATCTTGTTATTGTTATTCTTCACTCTTATTACTCATAGACATTTATATTTATCATTTTTCTTATGTTATTTTATATTTTTTTAATTTAAAAGTCCTCATGATGACCCACATGTTTGGATCGAAACGTTGGCTAACTAAATGTTTACTGCAAATCCTGACTAAATGTTTCATCCTCAAAATTTTCAACACTTTCGTAAAAAAAACAAAAAAAAAAAACAGTCAATTACTTACCCATCCCCAAAGTTAAAGATCTTGCGTTTAACTATTTTATAAAGGACAAACATAAAATATAAAAGAGCAGTATATACAAATAGAACTGATTTTAATTCTGTTCACTTGAAAGTACTGGGCTCCCAACTGTCTGTTCTGCTATCCGGTGATCGATTCTATGCCCCCACTGGGACACGCCTAGCTTCAGCAAACCTGAGACTTCAACGGGTTAAACCCCTGGGTTAAACCGGGGATGGGTTAAACGTGGCTGAAGGTTACCAACTAGTGTGTTTAATGATCTTGATAGCTGTGTTAACAATATTTTTCCATCATCATCCGAAGATTTTATACATATAGTTTTTTTTATATATATATATATATATATATATATATATATATATATATATATATATATATTGCATTAATCTTTAAATATTTTTTAAAATGTGGTAATTATACATATTCCTCATAGATACGATGTATTTCAAATTTTAGTACTACTTATTATTCGTGAAGTTTTAAAATGCAAATTTCTATTAATATGAAGACGAAACTTAAAAAAACAGTGAATAATGGTAAGGAAAATAATAGTTTCCCACCGAAGGTCATTGTTCTTCCTCCTTTTTTTTTTTTAGTTTTTTTAAAATAAATTTTAAACATGCATATAGGATAGGCTAATACCTTGCCAGAACGCGACCTGTTTACCTTCATTATCAAAGGCTTTTATATTCCTAATTCAGTTGTGCTAGCGCTGCGAGCTAGTACGGAGGCAACCGTTTGCAGTGTCGGTTCCCGGCGTCTTTCTAGGTCAATGCGCTTTGTACGGAAATGGATTCTAACGTAACACAGATACTTCTCGTCGAAAACAACGCCGCAAAGATAGTTGGTATGTATAATTAAATAGTTTGAATATAAAGCCGTTTGGAACGTGGGTTTTGCCAAATGTACCTTATCTAATGAACTTTCTCTTAGTTACTCCTGCGGGCTTCTTCTCCATTATTCTTTTTTAGTTGGCTATTTTCTCTCATCTCCATAAATAGCTTTAAAAAAAAAAACATTTTCTACAATCAAAATTAATAAAATAAAAGTAAGATGAAGTATTTTCAGGCCTTTTAACAATAAAGTAAAGTAGAATATTTATTTATTTACTTTTTTTTGTTTTTTATCTGTCTAATTCAATAGATTATTGTTTAACGCTTTAATAAAACCTAACAAAAATAATAGTTATTTGATAGTAATGATAATAATAATAATAATATTAAACCTTCAATTATGTCCATAGCTCGACAACATAAACAAACTAGAATTAATTTATAATTTAAATCAAATTAATTAAATTATTTAATAAAATAAATATTAAAATTGATTAAATTATTAATTAAAATAATTAAATATTAATATTTATTTAAATATTTAATAAAATAAATATTAAAATTTATTTAATAAAATAAACAAACATTAAAATTGATTATATTATTTAATAAAATAAATAAATATTAACATTTATTTAATAAAATAAATAAATATTAAAATTTATTTAATTATTTAATAAAATAAACAAACATTAAAATTGATTGAATTGTTAACATAAAATAATCAAATATTAAAATTGATTTAATTATTTAATAAAATAAATAAATATTAAAATTCACTTAATTATAAATATTCAAAAAATTGTTCAAAAAAAAACAAAAAAGAAATCTAAAATAGAATAAGGACTATTTATGTAACTGATTGTTTATAAATTATTATGTGTTTTATAATGACACAATTAAAATTTAAATTTGTTTGCAAAATTTTGAAAACGGCTCGAGAAGCCGAAACGTTGGATAATAAATACATAATGCGCAAACGTTTAGTATTGGTTAAATTTGGCCTAATGCTTTTTTAAAAAAAAAGATAAGAAGTATGTTTTTCTAAATATGGAAAGTAACTTTTTTTCATAGAGACAAACACTTAAAAAAATCACGATGTGTCACCTTGTTGTTTATATAATGCAGATATAAACATCAAATATATAATTAGCAGCATTTTAATACCGGTGTGTGTTTGAAATCCACAAATTATGATTATAACATCATCTCAAGCTTCACCTGTTGAATACTACAGGATTTCTGAATCTTAATAAATTGAAGTTGACTTGTAACCAAAATATATTTCGATCTGCATATTCATCACATTTAAAGACAGAAAAACTATTAAAAACCAACACGTTTTGGTAAAGTAATTGTTTTGTCGTATGATCCCATATGCACTTTTTTCATAACCGTGAAGGAACAATTCAAAGAATAATTTTTTTTTTTTGTCATAAATTATTGACAACAAAGTTTTCATTATAAAAAAAAATGAGCATAATTAAAGAGTAATGTAAATTTAATTTAATGTTGAATTGCTTACTACAGCGTACTATTGAGCTGTACCGATAATATTATCAGTTTTTTTTTCCAATGAAACACATCATTTCCTTCTATTTTTATCTATGAGATAAGTCTATCAGATATGTTAATCTTGTCAACATGTATATCAAGGTAACAAGTTTCTGTTTGGCACAAATATTGTAGGATCATGGGCTGGAGCGAGTTGTGAGTTCGAAAATAGCGATAACCTTATCTCGTTCCAACCTTGAACTCTGCATTATTGATGAATGGATCCACTGCCTAATTCCTCATAATCAAATAAAATTAATAATTTAAAACTGATCAATTATTCCCACTAAAGGATGCGAATTAGATTGGATCACATACGACAGTTCTGATAATGACTAGGAATGTGGCGATAGTATCCTAATCAATAAAAATCGATTTGTTCCTTTCGATATCGCCCAATATTGTATGGGAACGAAGGTTTCGATGGTATCGAATTATCAGTTTTCGATTTTTTTTTTAACAGTAAAAATTCAAGAGTAGTTCACATTCAAAACCCTCTTATTACAATTCCTCTTCACAACCCAATCAGACACTGGTTAATTATGTATCATGCAACAAGGATAATTTTTTTTTCTTTTTTCATACACCACTATTTTATTTTATTTGTGAACTGGAAAGATTCAGTATCACTTTTGGCATAGCACTGTGAGGTGATGCATAAAAAGTAAGAGAGTTTGTTATTTTTATACATTTTCCTTTTTTCCATCTACAAGATTGTGAATATTTTAGACGTATTTCATTCCATACATTCCTCAATTTGTATACATATTTATCTTTCTATGGCTTTTTCTTTCTATATATGTAATTCTTTTTTTTTTTTTTTTTTTTTATAAATTGGTCAATAATTGTCTTATGTTTTTGTCTACATTCGAGGAATTGTTGTGTTATATATGTGTGCGATGTTGTATTGAGATCCTGGCGTTTAAGAATTTAAAAGGAAAATGAAGTTTTTTTTTTTTTGTTATATTTATCTGGGGGAAATGTTTATTATGCTATGTCTATTGTTTAATATGGTTTATTGTTAATGATTGGTAAGAGTATTGTTATGAAAGGGGAGAAAAAAAAAATGAAGGAAGATATGTCATATATATATATATATATATATATATACATATATATATGTGTGTATTTTATATATATATAAAATAGAAAAAATGTAATATAAAATTAATGTCCGCATGGATTGATAAGTATTCTGTGTACGAAGCAACACTATGAAGTAGGGCAGCATTACTTTTAATAAAGTATTTCTCTCTTCTTTTTGTTATTTTTTCCAGTAAAATTATAAATATAGTTGAGAAGATTTTATTTTATTTTTTAGTATTAATTTTGGGGGCGGGGTGGCCGAATAGGCTAAAGCGTGTGCACAGCACCGCTAGTTGCCTAGCAACCGGATAACAGAGATTTGAGATGATATAAAAAGTACGAGTTCGCGTCTCGGTGCCGGGAGGGGATTTTAAATTCCCCGCCCTCATCCCCCGGCCCGGGAAAATCTCGTATAGCCTAAAAGGCGAGATAGGGAAGAACAAAAAAAAAAAAAAAAAAAAAAAAAAAAAAATTATTTTTTAGTAATTTACATACTATTATTTAAGTTGTTGCATATATTGTTTGAATCTTTATTGAGTTAGTTTTTGGCCAGATGTGTATTTTTTTCTTTTGTAACTGTACATTATTATTATTCTAAGGGGGCATCGTCTCAGAATAAAGTTTATTTTCTATTTTCTATTAAACATAATTCGATTTAATATTTTAAAAAACTGAAATGAGCGTATTAACGTCTACGAATATTTTTCAATTAAAAAAAAAAAAACCTGTACCACTACAACCCATGAAGGGTCTGGGGTACAGTACTATTTAGGGAAAGCACTGTTTCTAGGTCAACGGTTGTGCAAGGAGGTGATTTGACCGAGATCACGCTCAACCGCCAGGTTTTCCCCCTTAATTAATTATTTAATTAAGGGTACCCACTTTATAGAGGCTGGGTGTGCCCCAGGAGGGACTCCTGACCCAAGGTCACTCCACGGCCAATGAAACAGATAAATTAATTTTCTGCCATGAGCCGGGGTTCGAACTCGGGACCTTTGCATTGGAAGCTCAGTGCCCTACCACTGAGCTACCCCACTTTCAATTAAATAGAAACTCTTAAATATCTCTATATATATATATGTAAAATAAAAGTTTTGTCTGTAAATTGAATAGAATCAACCCATTTCATGATATCTTTCCGTTTCATGGATGGCAGACACCAAATCCACTTTTTAAAAAAATCTGTCAGGGGTAAGCTCAGCAATGGGAAATGGCAGACTTTTGAATTTTGGCATTATATGTAGGTTTGCTTGACTTAAAACGTAGGCTTTAAATGAAAAGAAAATATTGAGTACAACCAAAGTTATGAATTCTTGAGTAATTGAGGGATAGAGATCCCGGTAAGGCAGTTACTTACTTCGATTCTCATCCCAACCTACTCTACCGCGAGCAACATTTAAAAGTTGTACTATTCAACCGATGTAAAAAATTATCACGACTCAACGGTAAAAATCCGAAATACCGAACGTCTGTAACGCGCTGTCGCTTAAAACACGGGTAAAACAAACTCATTGTTCAACTTTGTCCGATCTTTCCGTTGAATGTGTCATTCGATTCAACTTCCCGAGCCTGACAAATGTTAAATACCTATAAAAATCTCGTATACATTTTTAACATTAACCAAACGGATTAGCCGGAAATCGAAGAGAAAAAAAATTCCCCAAAATTTCACCTCACCCGCCATAATATTCAGATCAAGTTCTAATTTTACACGGATGTAGGTGACTCAATGTCCAATGTTATTTTGCGAGCGCTAAACTCAGCAGAGTTTAAAAAAGTGGAAAGACTACAACTCTTTTATTTATTTAATCGATTCCACAATCTCCTCGTTACGTCATAAATGAAAATTAAGCACTTAAAAAATTTTAATGGATCGGTAGTGGTCGGTTTAGTTGTGTGGCACCTAAGCAAATAGCCGAATAACAAAGTTTTTATTATGGCTATTGCGAAACCTTTACTTCCATAAGCCCCGCCATGAAAACAACAAACTCCCTCCCCCTCCACCCAATTTTATGAAATTAAATTTAGATCCTCCCCCTCGCCATAATACAAAATCAATCTCAAAAAATGATTATCAAATTTCAGCGTCGTTGACGGGTGTGTACATCAGCTAATATATTATAAAATGCAGTTACAATACTATCAAAGTAAACTGCTGAAATCGTTTGATTATTGCAAAAAGACATTGCATACCACATTTTTGATCGAACTAAACATTTTATATATATATATATATATATATATATATATATATATATATATGTATATTTTTTTTATTTTTTTTTTTTATTTAGGCCTTAGTTATCGATTTAATAAACAGTAAGTGCACTAAAATGACACAAATTGTATTATATATAACATTTTTTTAATCTCA